CAAACTCAGCGGCCATCGGCGACATGGCATTGGCGGGAAGGGAAGAAGAGAGTGTGCTATTGAATAATGTCAAGGTAAGGGTAAACACCACAAATCTCTTCTTGGCCTAACATCTGTCAGTACTCGAGTCCTTGGTCGAAATGGGAGTCGCATACCTTGGACCAGTTGTTGGGATTCTCTGGATCATTGCTGTCAAATGTGACGATGACCCTTGTTGTTTGTTGCGACTCGAATGACGTCTTCTTCTCAAGAATCAACGATCCTGGTTCGGGATCCGATATCGCTTTTGAGACCTCCATGACGATATGAAAGGACTGCTGTCCTGTGTATGGGATCGTGGCGTCTGACGGATCGGGATTACAAATGCAATTACTATCACCACAGACAGTATAATAGAGGATTTGGTAGTGTCACACGAACAGGAACCAGGTGAGCATTGCTCGGAGTGGTAGGATATTCTCCGACTTTAACAATCCTTCTCTTGGCTACAAGCTCGTTCAGCATTTCCGCTTGGGGACGCTACATCCGACAAGCCATTGTGGGGATCGTGCATACCGCCATTATTATTTGTTTGCTGACCTCGGATCTACTTGAACAATTCAGTCCAGTAGCAATGCGGCTTGTATTAGAGACGTTCGGAAATGCCTCCGACCTGCCGCTCCCTAGTACTTCAAGTGACAATTCATCGACTATGATAATGCCCCCAATGAGCAGAAACACGGTAATAGCCCGGACACAGAGGGGTCCATTCTAAGGCTGAGCTCAAGAACATTAAGGTGCGCTTCCATAGATCGCACTCTTTATGTGAGTGTAGTTGACGGACATTGTGTCTGTCCATTCTTCACCTGGCTACGATGTCAGTGAGCGATATTGCATCAAGTCGACGAAGTCTGGGAAGGGTAGTCTAGATGTGATTGGCCCTGGACGTTGCGAATGACCAAGTCACTCTCTACAACCTCACCACGACATCCGCGAGGTTGATTCGAGATGGACGATTCTCTGATGTAATTATGCCTTGATGCACCCTTCAGCCTTGCGAATCATCGCAGGATATGACACGGCAGAGAAGAGAGTTGTGTCGGCAGTTTACAATATGCATAAGTCGACACGGCTCTGCCTAATTGGGTCTAGACCCCAAGCACCTTGCATGTGTTCCCCGCTCGTTCAAATTATCCCAATGCGGTGATTCTGTACGAACTGTCGTCATTGCCAACCTCTCAGACTCTTCCGCTTTGTTTGGCAGTAGGGAAACGTCGCGATACATTGACCTGGCTCGTTTGTTCCCGCCAATTCCGATCACTATTAACTACACTGGTGCAGAGCAATGTCTGGCCGCGTTGTACGACGCCGAAACGTCAAGACTCGCAATCGCAATGGCTGCGTCACGTGCCGAGCTCGGAGGCTGAAATGTGACGAGACAAAGCCAGAATGCAATAACGTAAGTCGATGCCAATGACTCGTGTGCGATCTCCATAGGGCTGAGTTACTGATTCGTGGTATCCACAGTGCATACGGTTGTTCATGCCATGCAGTGGTTATGCAAACCAGATCATCTTCAAAGATCAGAACAAGCTATTCAGACATGACTCTCCCCGCCGGACACGGTCAGGCCAAGCGATACACGAGTCTTCAGACAGGCGAGGTAGTCTTGACGATACACCACAAGCGGAAGAAGCACAGAGTCCGCCACCTGGGTTCTATTCTTCTTATGCAACTCCAGCACCAGAGTTGGAGAACGATAGCATTGCGGCTCAAAGTCCCATTTATGATGCTGGCCAGGCAAACAATAGCTCCGACGTAACTGCCGCACTCTCATCTTCTGATACACCTGCAGCCTGGGACTCAGGTCTCATACCTGATACAGATGTTGACATATCGGCACCGGCTGGAGATATTCGTGATGGCTTACCATACATCGTGTCACCAGTTGCTACATCGCATCAAAGTCATCGAACGTCATTCCCATTCTTCGGTCCATTGAGCGTCTCATCTCCCCAGCTACCTCCAAAAATACAGACGACCCCGAGAAGTAGTCAATTTTTTAATGGACTTTCCACTGCTCCGATCATCCCTCAAGGGCTTCTCGAGAGCATGAAGTTCCCCGAGGATATGCTCTACTACCATCACCTTCGGGATACATCACCATACGGCGTCCTCACACTTTTGTATCTGAACGATATCATGGATGCTGGATTTCTCAGTGCATCATTTTACCATGCTGCCCTAGCCTTGTCAGCTCTCAAAGTCTCCAAGTCCAATATGGGACACCAGCTACGGAGTCAGGCAGCGATACACGCACTAGAACACTTTGTCATAGCTCTTGGAGACGTTGGTAATATACCGATAGAGGATATGAACCCTGACATGCCAACACCAGGAAACGAACACGGTCCTGGAAGACGAGAGAAGATTGTGTCTTGGCTTAGCACGGTCTTGTTACTGGCACACTTTGAACTAAGACGAGCACAGATGAGGCTATGGTGCGTACATGGTCGTGCAGCGGTTGAGTTCCTGTCAAACCATTTAAATCTTGTGAGGGAGACAACGATCGGGGAATCCCTGGTCTCTGCTTTCTCAAGAATAGCAGCCCTATTGGAGATTTACGAGGGTACACATTCGATACAGGAACAAGTTGTGTCATCTGAGGCATCACGGTCTCTCGTCCAATATCTCGCTGGCTCCACGCTGCCGTACGATAGGCTGCTCTACATCATGCCCAGAGTGAATGATTTGGAAGAGAAATGGAGGTCCAATCTTCGACCAGGCGCGGAGTGGGATCAGCGTGTCGATGAGCTTAGACTTGAGCTCGAGCAATGGCGAGCTAGCCTATTGCCGGAAGATATCCCTGACTTCGACGGCGAGGGGCCAGAGGCAGATATCAATATGAAGCCACTAACGCTTCTTTCCGCCCCGGAACCAGTCAGGCCAGCTACAAGCTTTACGCATTACCTCGTATCTACACTTCGACTTGACCTGATGTACTCGCCAGAATCAGGCCCCAGACTTTCTCCCTCTGAACGTTCGGCCATATTGCGCAAGATCTGTCGTCTTGCAGCCGGCCTCCCATATGATCTCTCCGTCATCGTTAACAACTACGGATATGGAATGCTCCCTGCGATGCTCAGCGCCTACCATATGTCCGATACCATAATAGGAAACTGGATCAAAGGATGGGTTGCGTCTAGGCCCGATACAAGAGAAGGCATTTGGGACATCGAGCGCGTCCAGAGATTGATAGCGTATCTGGATAAAGAGTATAATAGTGAGGGATCAAGATCTGGATGGACTGTCATTAAGACACGAATGGTAGATGCGGAAGAGAATCGGGATGACGCGCAGCAAAATACGAGAGAAGAGCAATCTCGAAGTTTTTGCGTAGAAATATCCTGCAAGGGAAAACGTGGTTGGAGCATTGACTTTGTCGAGATAGAATGACTTAATAATTCGGTGACAAAGCCCAATTGACGTTGCAAGAAAGCGAAAAAGAATAAGCGCCCATTGCGTGATCCATTGTGACATGAAAAAAATCATCGCTGTTGTCAGAAAAGGGCGTCATTGCGATTATCGGATTACCAATACGAGAATGACAAGTTAAAACTAGGTACTGAAAACTTTGTAGGGCGTAGGGGACGACAAGCTCGTATGACTCAGAAGGGTCACTACTCAATGAAGGGCGCAATTGTCAAGTTGACATTCTAAGCAAAGATGACAAATGACCTAAAGATTTTGACAATAGCGCATGCCACAGGGTGCAGCCACTAAATTGACATCGGCCCGGCGTCCAATCACACGCTGCGAAAATTGCGTCGCTCGTTTGTCCAAGCCCGAAAGGGAATTCTTGAACGAGGACATGTCATGTCATGTCATATCAAACAGGAATTTTTTACAGGGAGACAATTCGAGAGAATTCTATAGAGTCATATGCTAGGTGAGAGAGCATGTCGAACAGGATATAAGAGCATGCGATTTCCTGGCAAATTATATTTTTTTATTCTCATCATCAAGCAACTCATTGAACAAACGTCACTTCAAGAGAATCTTTAACTCTGATATCAACACTTCAAACAAGCAAACAAGTCCAATCACAACAAAATCTATACACTATCTCCACTTACAACTATATCTTGCATACTGCAACCAGCCCTATAAAACCACTACTACATACAACCCAACTCCACTATCTCACAAAAACACCACACAATCCGAACACAATGGAATCCACCAAGATCAACGCTCGCCGAGTCTGGTCCTCAATTGTCCGCCATGCCAAAGAGCACCATGAGTCGGTCAACGCTGCTGTAGTTGCTTACTACCCTCAGCCATCGCCTGCCTACGCACCTGGCGGCAAGTCCGCGACATCCTCTGTCCTATCCTCCCCACGATATTCATATGAGAAGCCTCAGTAGACGCTTCAATGGGAATTGGTATAATACACGAAGTGGATGATTAATGTATTGGCAAGGATAAACTATGGGCTGAGAACTTTTGGTTAATGCTGGTTTGTTTTGAAGGATCTAAAAGGAGTATATATGTGAGTTAAACGTTTAATAATAATAATTAGAGATTTGAATACCAAGGACAGTTATATGAGTGCAGTACACAAGCGTCACCGCAGTGTGATCTAATGTGACAGGTTAATTACATACCCGAGTCAACTTTCCTTGTCTTTTTCAGACTTCTACAGTCTATATCGGACTAATTATATAATCACGGATCAAAGATACCTTGTGTATAGGGACAATGATTACTGAACAACACCGGCATCTTGCGGAGTTGCGGAGTTTCAGCTGCGATAAGCTTAACGAATGAACTGAGGAATCCGTCGACATCATTTAAATACAACAGGCAGACCATATATCTGCGATGAAAAGTCACATTGGCAAGATCTTGGAGAACCAAGTTGCTACTAGTTTTACAATACTCTTGACGTCTCTAAGCACATGTGAACGCCCTTTAACATCACTTCGGGTGTACCTATACGCACGTTCAATTGCGAAACCATGACTACTGAGGAATCCAACAAAGACGAAAAGTTCTTCCCACGGGCAGGACTTGCACAAGATGGATGGTCTACCGAAGACGAAGCGACAGCGACATGCTACTGTGGTGCAGTTCAGCTGGTCTTGGTAAAGCCCCTTTAAGAAAACAGGAACCACAATACATTCACTAATAGTTACCAGCCTTTGAAAAAGCCTGGCTTCGTTTTCTCATTCGTTTGCCACTGCAGTGACTGTCGCAAGATCACGGCTTCAATGTTCACCACTGGCATCGTTGTTCTCGACACAAACTTGAAGCATGTCCGCGGTGAAGAGAACCTCAAGCAGTTCAGCCAGTCGGATACAATTGAGAGGGATGGAAGCGCGATGACCAATTTCTTCTGCACGACATGCGGATCGCTCATGTACCGAAGGTCTTCGGCTTATACAGGAGTTAGTATCCTGAGAGGGGGCACAGTTGATGATTTTAAGCTTGTGGAAACGGTGCTGAAGCCAGATGTTGAGCAATTCTGTAAGTATAGAGTTGCATGGTTAAGTGGTATAAATGATTTAAGACAAAGCCAAGGACAAGCTGAGCTATAAGGCCTTAAGGTATTAATTTAATAAGACCTTATTATTAACAGGCTGCAGTTATTCTAGGCAAGGCACCTGTCTCTATCTAGCTTAATTATAAAGAGCTAGACTTAAAGAATATTTTATAATAGGTAGCTTTATATTAAGCTATTTAAGACTAAAAAGAAAAGAAAAAGCTATAACTTTATAAT